GGGGGGGGGGGGGGGGGGGGAGCGCGGTGAGGTTTCGGACTGGTGGTCGTCTGCTTGCAGAGCCCTTCGTGGGGAACTTCGAGCGCAGTCCCGTCAAAGGTCCCTGCCCATTCTGCGACGGTAGCCGGTAGCACCCTGTTTCCGCTGAGTCGCTTGAGATCCATCTGGAGGCGGAGAGCATGGGCAAGATGCTGGAAACTCGCACATGAACATTTGGGATGCCAACGGTGCGGGCACCGTCAACATTGGCCTACAACTCTTCCTATGGTGGCCCAGCAGCATGGCTTTCCAGCATCCTCCCCGGCTGAAAACTCGGACAAAGCTGCAGTGTGGATAGACCAGGTAAAGGGCAGCTGCATGTCAGCATCAGTAGACCTGGAAAACTTGGCAGTGTGCAGCATAAAGCTACTTTCGCACTGAGGACTACATTCGACTATTCCGGCAACTCCCTCTGTGCGGCGAGATGTCAACAGCTCGCTTGGGCAGCTTCCCTCGTTCCAAGCAGCCGCGCCAAACAGTGGCGCAGCGGTCGGCACACAGCTGATCGGCACCGGAAGTGCAGATCGACACCAAAGGTCTGTACACAACCATTGGTTAACACCCGTCTCAGTGGCAACACCTCATTCCTTGACCCGGACCCCCTCGCTCTGACACAAAGCTGGTAGATGGAGATGAAGCGGAACATGCATCGGCAATGCCGGCAGCGGCACTCAGTGATGGCGGCGACGACGACGAAAACTGGTAGTAGTAGTCATCGTCATCACCATAGCAGTAGCCAAATGGTTCTGATGCTGTTGATGATGACGGTGTTGATGAAGGCCATGATAGCGACGATAGTAATGACGGCACTCGTGGTGTTCATGATGTTGAAACCCTGATAACGACTGTGATGGTGGGACTGTAGTGATAGTGGCACATGCGAGAAGCGGCCGATCGGAGCAAGAAGGATCGTGATTGTTCCGATCAAAGAGACCTGGAGGACAGGATCATTCGGTGAACCATGAAAATGACGACGATGGCTATCATTACATCGGCAGGGATGCATGGTGGAGTCGATGGTGACGATGATTATGACAACGGATGTCGTGGCGGATGAAGAATGTGACATCAATGGTAGTTGATTAGTGATGACTCGATGATCTTCATCACGCCTGTGGTGACAGGTCATGCTGCAGGCGATGGTGGTGGACTTGACGTGAATCTCCTGACGGATGGTCGCGGGGTGGTGGTAATGACAATAAAGATAGCGATCGTGGCAATGATGGCCAAAACCATGGTGATGATGCAGAGGAGGAATTGAACGATGATTATGATGAGGAGAATGAGGATCGGCCGGGGGGGGTTCCGTGTCGAGTCCAAGCCCTGTGCACAAACAACAACTGCAAACTTCTGGCCCCCCACACCAGTCAGTGGCGGCAAATGTCAAAGCTGACACAACGACGTCTCCAAGTTTGAAAACAAAGCACCGATGGTCGTCATGATGTCAACATCTTCCACCCCGAACATCTACTCTGAACAATCGAAGACCTTCTGCCCTCAAGCTTGCAACCGATTTACCAATGATCTCCGAACCCCACCTTCCTTGCATTTTAAAAAAGCGACAAAAAATCGGCGCCCTCAGGACGATCGCGGAAAGCCAGTGTCTGGCTGGGCAGGGCTGGGCGGCGAGGCATCAGCCTGAGACTTTGCTTTGCCCATAGGCCCCAAAGTAGTTCCTTTTTGGGATTACCTTATAGGATTCCAAATTTTGGGGATTACCTTATAGGATTCCAAATTTTTAGGATTACCTTATAGGATTCATAATATGAACCTCAAACAGGAACTGCTATGGGGCCCATGGGTAGGCTGCGGCGCTCAGAGTTGGACAGTCCAGGCGAGGCATATGGCAGGGGGTTTACGAGATTGGGGTTGACTAACTTTGCTGTGGGACTTAGGGCCAGTACCTGTCACAGGGGCCTTAAGGATTGGAATGATTGATAGTATTACCATTATTGCTATTGCTGCTGCGATTCATATTACTGAGAGCACTCAAACACAGCTTCTTCACAAACCTGGCTTGTGGTGCTATGCACGGGAATGCCTTGGATAGCATCTGGGTGCCCATTTCTGTTCTACTGGAATGTTTAGCTAAGCACGCTGATCTACCTGAAACCGGGATGACTGATGTCAGTATGGGGTTTACAGGTTTCGGGAGTGAAAAGGGACCCGTTTCTGCTGCCAGCTTGTCGGCCGCTCTCTACTCCCACAGTTAAGCAAGCCAGCACATGCCTGTCTGATAGAAACTCCAAATTCAGCAGGCTCTGTTTAATGAGGTGACACAGAACTGAGCCAAACAACAACTGCATGTGAACCGAAGAGGAACCTCCAGTGATGATCAGCTCAACTTGCTTGGTTGATTCGTTCCTAGTGACCAGTGGCAGGAATCGAAGCAGCAAAAGAAGAAACTAATTCATTCACCTTTGGGTCTAGCGTTTAGGGTTTCGGGTCGGGGAAATATTGCAAACCTTCGAGTCTCACTCTCGCAATTGGCAAGACGGACGTCATGAGCACACAGATGAAACAACTGCCGGAGTGAGCCCTTAGACGCAAACACCTACCTCAATAAGTAGTATTGCACAAGCTAACCATCAGTTCACCGACCCTATCCGAATAGGCCAAAGGTGTACAGAGGACGCTACGAGCCGAGAAGCATGACTACCGCAGTTAGAAGCCATGACCCAGCACTTTTTCAATTCGGGCGTCCAATCAGAACGGGCTGCCAAAACCGGTCAGCACTCCTCCTCGGCACAGCACGAGGGCTCGAGGGATGTGTCTGTTCCAAAAGCGGGTGCCTCTGAAGGAGGCTCGCCGGCTCCCACTCAACAATCTTCGGACACTCCTCGAATGCCGTGGCCGCAGCGTCCTCTTTCGCCCAAAACATCACCGACTGTCACGCCTGCAGATCCATCCTCGGGTCCTCCGTTCAGTAGCCGATGCTTTTGAGGTACTCTTTGATCGCTCGGCGATGGTTGCCGACGATCTGCAGGAATCCACTTTTTCCATAGCTGACTTTCGTTTGGCACAGGAACTCCAGCTCCCGCTTCAAGGCGTCCGGGTCCCCCCGAACTTTGCGGATGATCGTGACGGCCTCCGATCGATTCTTTCGCTTGACGACGTATACGGGCAAGTTGTCTGAGGAAGTGCGACGCACGGTAAAAGGACATATGGCCCGGTAGGAGCGGTCGTGGCGATTCAAGCGCTCTGCCGCCGCCTCACGTGGCTTCTCGGCAACCTCGGCGGTTGTAGATGCCGCCCTACCCAGCGGCCTGAAGATACGGCTCCATGCACGGAACATCAGCAGCTGACCCGATGAGAGCGGCTTGCATTACATGGCCGGCCTAACACCGGGCTTTCGATGTGAAGCTTCAGCAAGAGGCTAGGTTGTGGTCTTTGGGCTCACACTGCTACTCACCGCAGAACTGCACCTAAATAACTGAGGTTCTACGAAAGAATCTGGAGCATTTGGGCTTGTCTCGAAACGCCAACCTTTAAAGTTGCAGAGCGCTGGTGTCTGAAGCGGAACTCGAGCATGGAAGAGCTGCACTTAGCACTGGTGGGGCCGGAGTCTGAGATGGTCTGCTCTTGAACATTCGAGGCTTTTGCTCAATTTTACACTTGGCGTCTCAGTCCCTTCATTTCAACCTTCTTTTGGCTCTAAAGCTTGAACAAAGACTGGTCTGATCTCGGTGGGCATGTGCCGGAGAGAGAGTGCCGGATCCTGCATTGTTGCGATTTCTTCATTGGCGACTGCTAATCCATCTTCATCTTGGCCTCCTTTGACGGTCTTGCTTTTTTTCGCGGGGGCAACTCACTTCCAAAGCTGGTGCAGGCACACAACTGGAAAGGACAAATATGGGGCGAAATACGAGCGCCGCCCTTTCCAGGATTTCCTGCATCACGAAGATGAAGACAAGTCCAGCTCTGGGCTGTGAGTGCGGCTTTGCACGATGGAGTCTTAGGTGCTGAGGTTCGTCTATGGCTGGCTTCCCGACAACCAACTCTAACCACCTACACGACCTACCCTCGCAAGCTCTTGCAGGTTTGTCGATGACCGGCTATTGCCACTTCGACTTCAATTGCTACTGGACCGCTTCAACCTCGCCCCAAAAGAAGTCCTGACATAAGCTTAGTCCGGACTGGGCGACTAAAAGAGAAGTAAGTGTCGTCCAAAGGTTGCGCAGACCTTGCGGCCAAAGTCTCTTAACCCTTGTCATTTTTGCGAATCCGGCCTGGTAAGTATGCCGGAAAAGGGACGGACCAAACACAAGATGTTCGTGAACCTCTGAGGTCCCAGCACCTCCTGAGCCTGCAGCAAGGCCGCGCGGGAATCTTCTAGGCTACATGTCTCATCACCACGTTTCCTCTTTGTTTGGCAACCAACCCAGACCGACTTTGCGTCAGCAAACAGAGCTGTGGTTTCAATTTGCCAGCATGTTTGGGAACAATGCATAAGTTAAACACATCATTCTTACGCATAAGCCGACTGCCCTCAACCCTGAACCCTAACAATAGCAATAATCATCGTTAATGTTGCCAGAATAAAACATTTGTTGAATTACTAATAGTGACCATAGTAGCAGTTACTGGTAGTGACCCTACTGAAAATACATCTACATAACAAATAATGAGCCCGTACTATCCTTACTGTCAGGCTGCCTCCTTCTTCGCCTGCTTCACGGAAGGCCTTCCGGTCAAAGCCTGGCACCACCTGGGATCCCAAAAGCTCAGCTGTTGCCGAATGTTGATGCAAAGCGCCGGAACCGCACGGTTTAGGGTTTAAAAATTTACGGTTTCGACTCACGCACTTGCACATGGCTTAGGGTGTAGGGTTTAGGGTTTACGACTGCTTGTAGCAAAAGACATGTGGTGAGCTCCTGCAGCGATGGCATGACCCAGTCATGACCCTGCTGTGCCGGGCTGCGTTTGATCTGGTGTGTTCAAAACCAACTTCTGGATGGTTTCTACGGGCGGTGTGGGCAAAGGTCTTGCACCCGAATTGCCATGTAATACAGTACTCTTGGTGCACCGCGTGCCAATCCCTGTCTGAAGAAAAGTTACCATCATAGCAATTAAGTACGACAACAAGCATTGATCTGATCCCCGTATAAAAACAGGTGCAAAGCCGGCACATCGAAAGACATGCGACACAAAAGCCGCAAGTCTCAGACGCACTCGGGTCCCGACACGCACCACGAGACCCAGGCGCTGCAGCGACTGGCGATCACAAGCAAAGGCTTAATTAAAGAGTGGTGCCTCGTCACGTCTCAGGGTTCACCCATTGATAGGACAAACCTTGAGCAAAGCAGTTCAGGCTGCTGGGTGCTGCCATCGGTTTTACAGTCCCATCAGATTACCTTAAAACGTGTAGGTGCGGAATTGCTAACAAGTTGTGCGGAGGCCGGAATTCAAGGAAGGAGGTAAACCGCAAACCCTAAACTGCACCTATAACCTATAACTTATAACACCTCAAATCCAAAGACCTCCGGCCTTGAACTCATAATGACATCAGTACCCTCCGCCTGCCAGGGCATGAACCCTCGACGGAAATCCAGACCCAAATGAATGTGCTCGGAACCTTCAAACTGTGAAAGTGCTGAGAGCTGCCTCAGCAATGTCTACATTAATCTTCCTGGGAGGGTTCCGGGAGGGTGAGAGGGAGGGGGGGGGAGGGGGTGTAGGACTGCTCTCTTCACAGCGATCTTTGGGGCTTTTCAGGGCCCGGACATCCTCTAGCAGGGCTCTTCTTTGTCGTCTGCACCACTTCTTGCTTCCAAGTTAAACAAATCTGGCGACGAGCTGGGGGCAAAACCTCCGAGCTCGGATTCTGCACTTCTAAAGCGTTGGTGTCTCTTCATGCCATACAACCTCAACTCTAGCCGCTGGCGTATGACACTCAAAATCCAGGATTGAAGTTTTGAGCGGTCCAGGCTGCAACTAAACTTGAAGACGTGACACGTCGTGTGTAATTGTGCTGCCGCTCTGCTGACTACAGTATACCCCCCCATGTGCAAGTGGGAGCACCGCAGTCACAACTTCAGCCAGACCCAGATATTAACCACATGAGATCTTGAAAAAGCTACGAGAGCCTTGCATTTTGGGACTGCCCTAAACCCTTTTGCACCTGGACTTGAGCAGGGTACCCTAAACCCTAAAGCACAAGCCCATGCAGGTCTCCGAGTTCCTGCAGCTCGTTGCAGCGGAGCTTCTGAAGCAATCACCCATGGAAGCTTCCCTCATGAGCCCTGCATCTTCGGGTTTAGGGTTTAGGGTTTAGGGTTTAGGGTTTAGGGTTCAGGCTCTGTGATGATGTTGGGGGGTGCTGGCTTTTGTTATTAACAGAGTACACTTGTTAGCAAGGTGAAGCCAGAACCTCTTTCCACTCTGTGTCATGCTTGCAATCCATAGCTATCAGATTCACCAAAGCGATTGCGTCGATGCTCCGACTTCGTACTTCTCGGGATGCCAGTTGCAAGTGCTGGATCGTCACTTGCCCTTTGCAGCTACAGGGTTTTGGACCTCTGCAGCCGCGCGCTGACGGCAGAAACTGTACACTTCAATCAGACCTCGTGCTGGCTTTGCCAGTTTGGGTGCGGTTGGCTGCCGGAAGAAGAAGTGTCAGATACCAAAGCGCTATCCGTTGCCCAAGAAACGTTGCAGAACCGCCCAGCAACTAAACTAAACCGTACCATATGACTGCGGAACATAACATGTTCACAAATGCATGACAAGAAAACCGAAATCCTCTCAAGCCCTCGAAATTTTGCTACGACGCTCTCTGAGTCTTTGAGCCCTCTTCCGAGCCCATGTGTCGACGTCTTCACACTAGGTCCACAAAAACCCGCCACTCACGGAAAGGGTGCGTAGATTGAATCCCCGCAGTCATGCAGGCTCCCACAACGCTCCGGAACGTGCTGCGGCCCCAGATTCCGGGATTGATTGCTTAAGAAGATCTGGTGTGCATGTTGGGTCGACATCGCACCGTGCAACATGTTCACATCATCTCAATTCCACGGTGTGGGCTTACTGCCGGCAGAATGTGTTCATGTGAAGACCATAAACTGTGGAAGACCTCATCTGACAATTCCGGAGAGACGGCTAGAAATTTCTATGTTTTTTGAATTCGCGTTGGCTGGATTTCGCCCTGAAACTTCAATCGACCTTCCTGCAACATCTTTCCGCAGATTTAAAGACCGAACTTCAGACTCTACTGGCCCATATTTCATAATCAGCCGTGAGGTGTACCTGCTCGGTCGGCAAAGTCACGTTGAGAAATGCTTGTGCCAGCTTTAGGACTGTATATGGGAGTTTCCGAAAATAGGGGACCCTAATATAGTACCCTAAATAATAGGATCCTTATTATAAGGACCCCAAAATAAGGTACCCCCTATTTTCGGAAAGTCCCATATAGGGTGCACATTGGTTCCGAAAACTCACCAGGCCCTACTTGCAATCTCACAGACCAACCTACTTGGTATTCTCGCTGCCATGCAGATATCCTTACTTCCCCAACAGGCCAGGGAAATAAACAGGTTAAACTTTCAGATTACTACTATATAAATTATAAGAACCCAAAAAGTTTTTCAGGTTGGGCATTGGAGAACTAAGTATCACACAGAAGATTTCGGGAGATGTCCGGACTCGATGCAGGTTGAGGGATTCTCGGCCGGACCTGCGGGGCCCACCTCGACAGCTGGTCTTTAGAGGCGTGAATTTACGTGCTTAGGATCGCGCTGCTCGTCTCAAGTCGATGTTCCAACTCTGCAGATCATTAGCTCCAAGCTGTGTCTCATAACAGCAGTAGCGTCAGCAGCAGAGCAATCGGTCGCACAGCACGAGATATTCTGCATGTGATTGCCTTGCTGGCTGTCTGGAACCATCTGCAACTAGTGTCAAGAAGGCTTCCAGATGAGCAGTCGCGCGACCCTAGACGCGATCACAGTTATTGATGCAGGTCAGGCCGCAGGGGCTATCCTGAAAGAAGTGTGAGCAACACGTTTCGGAGCTCAACAGGGTCTCAACTAATACTCGACAGCATCCGAAAACCGACTGTTCGTGACAGTTCCGAAATACCAGCACTAAGGCATTTGCAAGACCAGGGAGGACTGACTATTGCCTTTTGAACCAGGACTAGCACTCGATGGCCGCACAAGTTTCGGAGTCGGCCGATAACAATCCAAAGGATCTAATAGTTTAGCAGTCAAGCTCCGACATTTCTTAGCCAGGAAACATGCGCCACGATGACCTGCGACTCTTAAGCTCAGCATGAAATCAATCGAAATCCCATAGGCATCTTCGTACTGTGTCGCTAGGGACCCCCAAACAGATGTGGGCGGTTCCTTGAAGCATGCCGTGCTTAACTATGAGAATACAACATTATTTAACATAACATCCGGCGACTGGTAAGTTCAATAATGTTGCGGAGTCCAGTACACTACACCGGCAACAGGGATTACAATACAGGGTAGTACCAGTTACACGCGTTACCCCACAAGGCCCTGATTTCAGCATCTGGGGTTGAGGAATTCCCGGGGTTTAGGCTCTAGGACCACAAAACCAAAGGCCTGGAACAACCTGATTCGAGTAGACATTGACCAGAGGCAACTTGGTTGCCTGCGCTGCGGCTGTGACCCCGTTTCTAGACTTTGAAGTAACCAGGGACAAAAAAGTATAGACTTTAATTTCATAATGGTTCCCTTAAGGAACAGGCCCCCCAAAAAGTATTCAAGTATGGTACTCCAAAGCCCAGTTTTGTCTTGACATTGGAACTCACAATAACTGACACAAATGCCAGTACTTGAGGCAGATGTCTAGCCCGAAGCCCGTAATTCGATTGAGCGCTGTAGTTAGACAACCATAAGCCATAAACCCAAAAATTCGTAATTCCTGAACTCTCAATTACACACCATTTCCTGTACTCCAAAAAGTCATAAGAACCCCGAATGCCCAGTCCTCTGTCAGAGGGTGCTCCTCGGCCAGCTTGTTGTACTTCCGATTGCCGGCCTTGCGTGCCTCGAAGGTTTCGATATTTGGCTGTAAGACTCAAGGCCTGGGGGCGATACGGATTTTTCTTCCGACATGGCTGCATTGGATTCTGACTGTAGCATGTTTGCATTAAAAAATTAAACCGTCAGCCCTAAGCCTTTCGGGCATAAAACACGAAAGCCCAAAGACTTGTAGTTGTGTTCGGGCTGAAGAATCTCATTGGAATGCTATGAGTAACCCGGAGAAGAAAGCATGCGCACCGGAAGTTAAAAGGCCTGGACAGCCCTGATAGGTTTAGGGCTTATAGTAGAAGCCATAAAATTGGAACAAGTCCTCATGCCCTTAAAATAAAGTTTAAGGGATCCTAGCACAAATCATCCTAAACCGATGCTTTCCAACTTTCTAAGGTTTAGGGCTCAGGGCTTAGATTCCAGCTTTAGGAAAAAACTTGGCCTGGCCGGCTCGTCATGTCTCCAAGGGCTTTAGGAGGGACCCTCAATAGGGACCCTTGTAGGTTATTGGGTTTAATATGAAAACTACCTGGCTATATAAGGACTATACAATCGTTATCTAAGGTAATGGGATTAAGGGTCCCTATTAGGGGTCCCTCCTAAAGTCCTTAGAATGTCGGGAGGTTCGAAGCTGCTCCGCAAGGGGAGAGTTTAGATGTTGTAGGTCAGCAGTGCTCACAGCAGGGGTCTTGCAGCTGACCAATCAACGAAACTTGGTCGATCTGACAAACGTATAATAATATGGGCCGAAATAATTGCCTGTACTGTTTTGGGGGTTCCTTATTATAATTATAGTATAATGGGCCCCTAAACCTTATTCTAATTCGTAAGGCCCCTATACTAACCAGTCTGCAAAGCCCGCCTTCTGATGATATCAGGAGCGAGCTGCTCCAATAAAGCCTACACAAAAGCCTATAAACGTGATGTGGAGCCGCCTGCGCCTGATTCGGCGCAAAGGGCACCCGAAGTTGCCGGGGCCGGAAACGGCGAAGCAGCAAGGAGGAGGAGACCACCTCTCCGGCATGGCTCGTGCTCGAGGTTGAGGGTTTGAGGTCTGTCGAGGTCTATTATTTATTACGGGCTCGGAAGGCTATCACGGCTTTAGGGCTTGGGCTCGGCTTACATTTGAGAATGGCAATTTGGGGCAGGAGCAACTGCGCGGCTCTGGGGGTTGGGGAGTTGGCATCAAGATTATACGGCTTAGGCATTTTTCGTAGTTCTGTGGCGCGAGCGAAAGCCACTTGTTACATGAGTCCGGCCGGGAAGTTATAGGGGTTCGCGAATTTCAGATGTGATCTGCCACGACCCGGCCGTGACAGACGACAGCGCCATCGCCGCAGCTGCAGCCGCCGGAGGCAGGTGGATCCCTGCAGCTATGGTATGGCGGGGCCAGTCACATGCTGCCGGCCTTAAACCCAATGCGCCTTGGTGGTGCAAAACCCCGGCTGCCAGCGGGATCATGCATGCGTTGAACACGAAGGCCCAGAGGAAATTTCGCCTGGGCTTCTCACACACTTGAGACAGCGACTGATCGACAACCCCCAAGCAATGCACGACTCGACAGCAACTCCGGCACTGAAACCTATGCTACATCCAAGCCATGCACCTACCATACAACTGCAAAGTCCCGCAAAGCTCTGCATGTCCGAGGTGCTTTATGCAGAAGACCGTCGCCAGTGCCAGTTGCTTCATGGTCAACAACTCCTGCACGCATCCATCTCGAGTCATTTTGCCTTAAAGCCCTGCGTTCACGGCAAGAACGTGGCAACGAAAAGTCAGAAGGACAGATCACCCTTTCAGGAGGGCCGTGCGAGTATTTTTGTAGCACTGACACTTCAGAAATCTGCACCAAGTCACATGGTCTGGGGCTTACGGCAACCATCGGAGCTAAAAACACTCGAAAAACCCAATATTACAACACATCATCGAAGAGCACCCGTGGAATCTGTTCCGGGGGCCTGAAGCTCTGACTTCACCAGCACAATGTCCGCGGAGTCCACTGTAAGCCGAGCTCCGGCACCGATTGCCACACCGACCTGGCCAGGGAAAAACCGCAAAAAGGGCAGAATGCCTATGACCTCTATAGTGCGTCGAACTTACGTAAAGCCGACTACAAGTGTTGAACTGCCTCAGCTGCAGCTTAACAATTGCACCGACTACCACTGCTCGCAGCTTACTGTACAACCTGTCATGCACGATGTGCTTAATGTGACTACGTGCTGGGCAGCAACAAACCCGTGAATTCGTGAATCCAAGCTTCGAGCTGAACGGCAATCCAGTGTCAGAATTACGGCAAACAGTAGCTCAGGCGACACGATAGAATCCGATAGAAACGAGTCAGCTCGGCCAAGCATTCCTTTGCACGATGGGCTGGAGCTATTGAACCCCTAGCCTAACCCGGCATGTCCGTGTAAGCAGCAAAACCGGCCTCTGCGGAAGTCAGCGCCGGTGCATCGTTGACCCCGTCGCCGACAAAGATAACACGCTTGCCTTTTGTCCAGGGGCAGACATGAAAACAGGCAAGTGCGCGCACGCAGCATTGCCAGCAAAGTCCAGTGACAAGTCCCTACACCGAAGTGTGCCAGCGCCAGTGGATTATAATGGGCACTTTCTTTCTTCCGGTCTCGAATCAGACTGACACTTATGAGCCTGTAGAGCCCGAATCCCTGTCGGAAAAAGACGGCGCAGCCGAACGAAAAGCCCTGCTTTTAGGGTTTGGGGTTCAGAGTTTAAGGTTTGTCGGGATTAGGGATTAGGGCTTGAGAGTTTGGGGTTGCCTGCAGCTTGTAGCTCGGCAACCAGGCCCGCCTGCGCAGCGAAAAGGGAGCTTTGCTTTGTGCAGGGCTTCGGCTTGAGGTCATTGATGTGGGGGCTTCCGAAAATTAGGGTACCTTATTTTGGGGTCCTTAGGGTACTATATTAGGGTCCCCTATTTTCGGAAACTCCCATGTTGCAATGTAAAGAGGCATCCCGTACAAGAACCTGCCACTCCCTGAAATGCCAAGCCATGTGCAATCAAGACTACACTCTGTAGATGCCAAGATCTTGGCTTAGAGCCAAAGAAATCCTCAACATAAGCTGCTTTTATGGCGACATACCCACAAAAGGGGTAGGTCATGGCCATAGCTTATGTTTTGATGTGCTTTGGCCCAGAATCTGGGTCCCCAATCAACGGCCCCCAGCCCTGAACCCGGCGCATAATCTGAATTCACCCAACCCCATACCAACTAGGGAGTTTCCGAAAATAGAGGAGAATCCTAAGTAGTAGGATCGTTATTCTCTGAAACCGCCCCACCTCAAGAACCGCCATCCTTGAAAGCTTCGGCTTTCCTGAAACCATGCGCTGGCCTTAAAGGCTGGGACCGACTCGGCTCTGACTCGGTCTGGGTGGATGCCGAGCTCTCTGGCCACCTCTGCATTTCGGGCTTCAGGGCTTGGTAGTTTTGGGATCTTAGGGCTTAGGATTGCAGCATAAACTCTCCGTGGTATCTCACAACCTGAAACCCCCAAAAAGAAGCCGCAAAATCAAAGACTGTCTCCAAGCGAGGCTCCGCGTTGGCGGTGGCAGAGTGGTCCCCGGTACACATCCAAACCTCCTCGCCGGCCTGGCACAGTGTAGGTTCCGGAAGGAAGCTTTTGACTTACTAGTTACTAGTATCATTGTGGTCACCGAAGCAGTGATGCTTACACAGGTTCTGTACGGGGTGCTCAGAGGTTTAGGGTTCTGCAAGGGTTCCAAAAAAAAACATGGTGTTCTTATCATCCTTGCAGGGTTCTACGGTCAGTATTAATGCACCCAGGACGATCAAGGCAGCAGCACATGTCACTATGATGATGAGGGTGATGATGTGCAAATGCACAACCACTCGAATTCCCGAAGTTCCTGTCTCAGCTGGGATCAAAAAAACCTGCTCGAGCTGCATATGGGTAGTTCTCTAAATTAGGGTCCCTCTTAGGGTTCTTTTTATAAGAGTGCCGTACTAAATTGGGGACCTAAAAAAGGGACCCTTATAGAACTACTCATACTGTTGATGCACAAAATCCTGCATGACTTTATATGCCTAAACTATGGGCTTTATGG